ATAATTCTCCGCAGGCTAGATTTTTTTCTCATAAACAAATTACTTGTTTACTGTGAACTACTTGTTATTGTAAAACTTCTTTTTCTATACATATGTTACCGCATCAATCAATCACTCGATGCGAAAGATCTTTGACATTAACAATGGAATTTTCAAAACGTAGTAGATGTTTACGGAATTTTAGAAATCTTATTTTTTTCATATTTGTATACATTTTATTTCTTTTTTATGGTGCTGTATTGGAACAGCTCTTTAAAATGTTTCAAATGGTCCCAAATTTCTAACAATTAATAAAAATATATTTCTTTTCGTCTTTATACATTTTTAATGGTAATTCTGACTACCATATTGATTCGTCATTTGAATTTTTGAAATTTTATTTTAGATTTGTAATCAGCGACCCGAAAACATAAAAAAGTGTAAAATATTACAGAAAATCCGTATAAGTAAAAAGAATTCAATCAAAGTTAATCAAATAGGAAATTTATTAATTGCCATAATATATAATAATATAATTGTTATAATATGTAGATCTAGACAAAATTATTATATATATTATTTATTGATAACACAAGCTGCGAAGGTCAGTATAAAATGCAGAGCAAGTGAATCTAATTGATTTTTTAACGCTGAAAACGAATGACTACAGAATTACCTTAGCACGTTTTCAGATTTAAGTAAGTTGTGGTTAAACAGTCCAAAAATGGCAATTTTGGCCAATTTCATGAACTTATTATAAGAGAACTTAATTTTGGAAATATTTCTGCCAATGGCATCGTATAGCATTAGTCTTTACCTTTTCTGTCTAACATCTCTTATTTTGAATATTACAGATTTAATATTTATAACTTATTTAAATATTCATAATATATTAAGCAACATGTCATAAACAAAAAAAAATTCTTTTAACAAAATCATATAATCAATTTAGAAATATTTATTATTACAATATCATAAATTACATTAAAAATACATTATTATAATTCACATGTTTAAAAAAATGCTAAAAAAATTTAAGAAAAGTCATATCATTAAAATTAAAGAATATATTCTCTTTCTGTAGATTTGCGATCATCTTTGTACTTCTTTAACTTGTTGAAGAATCGTGAAATACATTGTTTTTCGCTAATAAGTCTAATAATTTACTTAACGTTAAGACATACATCTCTCGGAACGATAATAAGATACCATATTCTCTTTCAAGAATCTGTTTTATCTCCGTATAGCTTAGCGAATCGATGCCGAGATTGTCGAAGCTGTCATTGATATTTGCCGAGATGTTTTCAATACCAAGGATATTAGCAACGATTTGGATGATATTCAACTTTGTCGTCGTTATTTGCAAATTTGTGTTTCTCGGCTATCACTGTAGACGATAATACTGGATATGGTTGTTGAAGGAAAACATCTATGGTCTCAAGACAGCTGGTCACACGTTGCGGTAAAACATATCTTACATCAAAAAATTTCATTCTTCATTGTATCTGTAAAAAATCAGAGTATCATGTAGTGATATCGAATGTAAAAAATGATTACTGTTTGCTTCGATGATCTGGCCAAAATAATTTATATATTTAAATATATACAATAATTTGCACTCTTATTTTAATAATATTACGTTATTGTTATTAGTTTGCAATTATGTCCTATTAATAATATCTCTACATTATTGTTTTATATATTTCTTGCAATAAAAAGTTGTTAATGTCTCTATTAATAAAAATAAATAATGTAATAAATTATCCTCGAAAAGTCATATCATTATATTGGTATGTGGATACTTTTTAAAGAATAAAATGGAAATATTTTTATGTAAAGATCTTCGATCCTTTTTCGGATCACATTGTTCCTTTTCATTTTATAAATTATGCCTAAAAACAAGAATATAATTCCATTGAATCTTCATAAAAAGAAATAGAGAAATGTCTCACCAACAAACAAACCGACATCTCCTATAATACCCCATTGAATAGCGAGACCGGGCAAACCAGCAGTATGTCTTTGCTCTATTATTCTTTCCATAGCTGAATTTGCGAGACCATAATTGGATTGACTGGCATTGCCGCGGCCACACGATATGGACGAGAACACGACAAAATAATCCAATGATGGACAAGACTTTCTCGATATCACGTCCAGATTTCTCGTACCATTGATTTTTGGCAAGGTTACAGTCTCGAAGTCGGCCACTTGTAGGTTCTCGAACAAAGCGTCACGTAGAACGACGGCCAGATTAAATATACCGCCAACTGGAGCCAATCGATTACTCTCGTCGATTAAACATTCGGCGCCCGATAACGTCGTGATATCTGCAGCAGAGATGATGACTTTGATGCCATTATTGCGCCAATGTTGAACGCGAGACGTCTGATAACCAGTGCGTATTCCAGTATGTGACACGAGAACGATGAATCTAGCGCCGCGGGTGATCATCCAATTGGCTAATTCCAAACCAAATCCACCGAGACCACCGATCAACACATACGACTTGTCTGGATACATATAAGTACGTGGTATGGCCGCTACTGTTCTTAGCATTGGCAGCTTATGTTTCTGAGGTTCATCGTCGCGAATCTTCAGCAATACCTTACCGATATGATTGCCTGCCGTCATAAATCTAAATCCTTCCTCGAGGCTTTGCTTCGAAAATACGGTCGTCGGTAATGGACGTACTACACCATTCTCAATTCCCTCCGAGATTAGTCTAATCGTTTTTCGCTTATCCTCGATATTTTCTAATAACAATTCTAAAAGTATACCGTGATAAGAAGTATTCTTTAAAAACAGAGACATATCTACGCGATTGCCATTCAACATGTCGTACTTCCCAATATCGAGGAAGCGACCGTTCTTCGCGAGGCACTGTACACTGGCATGTAGTTTCTCTTCTGACAGTGAATTCAATACTACATCGACCCCACGTCCTCGGGTTTCGTCCAAGATTAGCTGTTCAAAACTCGTATCTCGGGAATTGCCAATGTGCTTGTCGGTCAATTGCGAAAAGGTCTTCTTGAGATACAATCGTTTTTTCTCTGTGCTGACAGTAGTGAAGACGGTGCAGCCTGCGTGCAAGGCAATGTTGATTGCCGCTAGACCGACGGCACCCGCACCAGAATGAATCAGCACGTTTTCGGCCCGTTCTCAATCGACCTCGTACAAACAGAGCATAGTAACTGGTCGCATAAGCGACCGGTATTGTCGCCGCTTGCTCCAGTGTCCATTTTGTCAGGTACCTTCCAAAGAAAACCGGAATCCGGCAACACGGTGGTCGCCAAACCTCTAGATTTGTCTAATAAACCCATTACTCTACAGCCATCTGCGTCTGTCCCGGAGAATTCAAATCCTAATACATAGTCTTCTGTAGCAAGTCCTAACGATGAGAGGGCATCCGTTGATAGTTTACCAGTCGCCAGCAGAATATCCCTATTAGTATAAAATTTATCAATAAATATTTATCAACGTGATATTCGTTGTTTATATAATTTCGTCGTATTTTATATAGTTACATCGAATTCGTTATTTTTATCATTTCAGTCGCAACAAGTGACTTTCGTTGAAACTTGCCTGAAATTTAATGACGCATAGTGCACATTACAAAGTGAATTTAGATATTTGCTCTGACAATACGTTAACGGACTTTGAATCCATGCTAAACTATTTAAATTTCCTGTCGTCAATGTATCCACATAAGCGTGCTCTACTTCCGTGCAGTTATCTTTATCTAATTGCAAGTGCCGATAACTACCCCATTGACCACTTTTCAATACGTTAGCCATTAATTCTTTCTCTAATTGCTCCGCATAGAACTGCGAGAATAAATCAAATTTGGGAGCATTATTGTCCTGGATGAAAACGTAACGCACGTTTACCATCTCGCGTCGCATGCAGTTTATGAATCCGACAATACCTGAGAATAAAAAAAAACAAGATCTTTAATGATTCGCTGATAAAGCTCTCGGATAAAGCTCGAAAAAAAGATTTTTAAATAAATATTTCTAAACATAAATTTTTCATTTCAAAAATTATGTATAAACATGTATAATTACCAAGTAATTCTTCGCTTTGAGATACAAAAAGAACATCTTGTTTTTCACTGTCGCAATTTCTCAATGCCGCTTTCGCATTTGCTAACCATGAAAAATCGTTTCCTGTGATCTGTATTAAGATCGGTTCTTTTCTCACTTCTTTTCGTTTTTTCAATAAGAAGTAATTCTTTCCCGTGGAGTCGATTTGCTTACTAATTAACATCAGATTCGCCTCTTCTAGTGCAATCTTTAAGTCGAATATACCAGTCTCCTCTAGAAGAATAAAGCAATTAGAACTTAAGGTAGCCGCTAGATTTTTGAAATTGATGAGAGATCGGCCAGAGAGAACTTCCGCTGCTATGATGAGGTGCATATTCTGAGCTGGGAATGTATCATTCGCATCCCATTTAATTATATTAATATTAATGCCCCTTTGATCGAAACTTGTCCTATAATCGCACGCGGAACTGACGGCTACTTGTAAATCAACCTAAAACGATAAAAATGATAGACACGGATTTAGAATGCCGTGCATTTAAAAAAAAGTTTTTTTATATATCATAATTTGCATTTATGAAAATTGTATATATATTTAAAAAATATGTATTGTATCTTATACTATAAATCGCTTGAGACTATTTATCCAAGATTTTTGTTCACTTCTTTAAGTCGACTACAATTATTAAAATTATGTAACGAGTACTTACAGTGATGAAGGGATCGCAAGAAAGAATATCGTGTACAAGCGGCACCAAAAACTCTTCCGCGGCTCGATTATCCGCAACTTCCACGGCCTTGATTCTCGATGTCGTTACATTTTCACATACAATTTGTAATAGTATAGTAAGTATGTGAATCTTTTGTCTCTTTGGATCTTTCAAGACCAAGCTGCACGAATTTTCATAAGATACGAAAACGTAACGTTCATATTTAGGTTTAGTCTTCTGCTGTCGCTGAGGTGCGGTATACTTCATATCTTTTAATTCAATACCGCCTGATCTAACTATATTGGCATTTTTATAGTGATATATCGGCAATCCGCCGTTTTTCGGTAACTCATTGATCATTCGTTTATGAAGAACGGGATTGATCATGGCGTATCGACACTTCGAGCCATAAACTAATTTCCGGTCGTTTGACAACATTTTAAATTGAAACATGTTATCAATATACGAAGACCATTCATTAAACCAATGTAACTCGCCAACGGTGAAAGAAATGTCACAGCATTTTATTCCTTTGAAAATACCATTGTATTCGTATCCACGTAATCTCAATTCCTTATAAATATCCTCCGTATTCAATAAAAGCTCGGTAGACGGTATCGGGACCGGTGGTAAGTTCAGCTGATTTATCTCGATAGCTTCAGCGGCGCGGATGTTCCCGCTGGCTACAATGCTATTAGCTTCGAGGATTTCAAAATCTCCCTTTCCTTCGAAAAGTTTTATGAAAAATTTGATTGTTTTATTCTCCGGTAAGAAGGTAATGCGCTGAAGCCATACGTTCTCAAAGATTACTGATAGTCGGTCGAAATCGGTATCGCGTAGTTTCGCAAAGATTTGCCAAACCATGAATATGAAGCCGGCGCCTGGGAAAACAAATCGCCCGTCGATTTGGTGTCCCATTAAATATGCGTCTGTTTCACTCGATAAATTTATCTCTACAACAAGCGCTCCAGACGATTCTTTCATCTGATGCTTCAAATCGGGCACCGTCCATGTAGCAGAATGATCCCATTTGATCAATGATCCAATCATCGGTGTTCCGCGACTGACAGGAAAACTAACTGACGGATACAGTTTAGAGATGTCGGGCTGCGCGCCGGCTGTGTACATCTTTCCCACATTAGATAGTAAAAAGATCAAATTATTTGAATAATTCTGCTTTTGGAGACCGATATTAGTCACCGTGGATGGTAGGGATTTACGCAGGATCGTCTGTAGCAAGCAATGTGGCGCGATTTCGATGGTTATCGCATTTTTCGGGATATGCGTAATCGCCTCCTGAAAAAGCACAGGTGACAACATATTGTTCACGTGATACTCCGATGAACAAAATTGTGCGAGTGGGCTATTCCATGCGGCCTCGGGTATCGAACTAGAAATCCATCTGGTAGATCTTTTCTTTGGCTTCGGCACAATCATATCGAGGGAAGCGCGAAATTTGGATTTAGCTGGAGCAATGTATTTGCTGTGATAAGCAACGCCACAGCATTTGATCATTTTGGCAAAGACATCTTTGCTCTTCAGTTCCTCTACGAACTTTTTCACAGATACGGGTGGACCAGAAATGGTAACCAAATCCTCGGAATTATGACAGGCTGGAACGATATCGTTTAAACACATCTTCTTGACTTCCTCCCAATTCAAATTTGCCACCGCCATAGCGCCTGGTTCCAAATTGGATTCTATAATCGACTTGCCTCTGTAATAGGCTGTCAAAATTGTTTGCTCTAGGGTAAACGCACCATCGGTATACGAGCAACTTATTTCGCCAAGGGAGTGTCCAATTATACCATCTGGTTGCACACCCATAAATATTAACATATCGACAAGAGCGATTTGAATGGCCACGATTGACACGGTAGCAACCAATACGTTTTCGTATGTTTCATCAGTACCGTTAATGATGATATTCATTAGATCAACATTGTGCTCCTTTAATACATCGGCGCATCGTTGTAGACTACGCTGGCACGTTTCGATGTCAAGCAATTCGCGTCCCATACCCGGCCACTGAGTATTCATACCGGAAAATAAAAACCAAACGGGACGTTTCTCGTCATAATTCGCCTCGACAATCTCGCGCGTACTATCATAAGCGAGTATTTCATAGCCACGAATGTTATGATTCGGTATGTTATCACTGTGCACGGAGTACAGTAGAGATAAAAACTCATTGTCTTGTCGATGCTCGTTTGCCTTGTTCAATAATACCTGTACAGCTTCTTTTGTACGGCCCGATACGGCAACCAGCTTCGGCAATTGCTGCTCGACGGTATCTAATGATATTTTTACCTTCGAATTGCTGCGCAGAATGACGTGCGAATTCGTACCACCGGCGCCAAATGAATTGATACCCACAAAACCGCCGTTCCATGGCGTAGCTTTGTCAAGTACGCGAATACGTCCCTTGGTCAACGCGGGAATCTTTGGATTTGGAGTAACAAAATGCAGATTCGCCGGAATCACACCGGTTTCCATCGCAATCAGCACCTTGGCGATCGCGCACAGTCCACTGGTAGGTTCTGCGTGTCCCATATTTGATTTAAACCGAGCCGATTAACAGCGGTGTCTTTCTGTCTTTGCAAAACAACCTATCGATGGCACCGAGCTCCTCCGGATCACCCGCTCTGGTACCGCTACCATGCGCCTCCACGTAAACTATGTCTTTGGGATCAATATTTACCTCATTGTATATTTTCTGCAACATCAGGTACTGAATGTCACCATTCGGATACATGATACCTTCGGGCTTGTAGCCGTCCGCGTTTATCGTTGTGTTCATTACTGTAGCATATACTCTGCGCGCGTCTGTCATTTTCTGCAGGTATATTGCAACCACTGCTTCGGCTTTCACGTAACCGTCAGCTGAGATGTCGAATGATTTACATTTACCTTCTGTGGATAGCATATTTTTTTTATGATAATGAAGATAGTGAACCGGATTAAGCACAATATTCAATCCGCCAATGATCGCTGCGTCGCAATCACCAGTGCGTATCGCCACGACTGCCTGATGCATAGCAGTCAAAGATGAAGAACAAAGTGTATCCACCGAAAAGCTGGGTCCAATTAAATCGAAGGTATAAGAGATTCTGTTTGCCATCATTGCTATGCTACTTCCGAGCCATTCATATCCTACAAAGAGATAATTTACAGACGTTAATTTTTTTTAACTTACTCAAAGGATGTCTTGATTGAAGTTTAAAATGTTCTTGTAGCAAAGATTGAAATTTTCATAAATGTGTATGTATTATAATGTAATATATATTATATACAATATATATGTTGATATGTATAGATAGATTTATTTATTTCTTGTCTTTCGGCATTGATGGAGATTTACATAAAATGTACGTTGCAGACTTTATAATACGCTTCATTTATACAATATTGTTTCTTATGCTAAATAATTTCTATTATTTTTATTCCTGACATTTTATTTCTTCGAAAATACATTTCTCTTATATGTATATATGTATGTCTTATATGTATATATGTATTACCATATAACTTTATATAATAATTAGAGTAGAAGAGAGAACCTCTTATATATCCTGATCGGTATGGCATTATTAAAGGCAATTTAACTGATTGTGAGTCTCTCATCATATTTATTTTGAATTAATTTAATTAATAAAATTAATTAATAACAAAAAAAATGTGTGCCATTAGAGGGTGTATGCTGTAAATGATCCCTTTCTAAGAAAGACATGTTATTGACATTGTTGCCTCTTTTCCGCGATGATGATTGGTTATTGGTCGTCAATAGTAATTTGCTGAGCGACTTGCTTCATTCATGTCGTTTGACAGTTTGACAGTTTGACAGTTTGACAGTTTGACAGGTTGAAAAGAAGAAAAATAATTTATTTAGATAGTTCAAGACAAAAAATTGTTTAAAAAAAAAGAAAAAAGAACAAGAGAGAGAAACACAGAGGAAGAGAGGGAGAAAGGATGCCAAAAAAATTTGTAAAAGGAGGAGTAAGAAGAAGGAAGAAAATAAACATATATATACGGAAGAAAAAAGAAGAAGACTGAAAGAGACAGAGGTATATATACATATACCTCTATATACAATATATATATATATATATATATATATATATATATATAGAGAGAGAGAGAGAGAGAGAGAAAGGGAGAGAGGGGGGAGAGGGAGAGGGGGAGAGAGAGAAAGGGGGAGAGGGAGAGAGGGGGGAGAGAGAGAAAGGGGGAGGGAGGGGGGGAGAGGGGAGAGAGAGAGAGAGAGAGAGAGAGAGAGAGAGAGAGAGAGAGAGAGAGAGAGAGAGAGAGGAGAGAGAGAGAGAGAGAGAGAGAGAGAGAGAGAGAGAGAGAGAGAGAGAGAGAGAGAGAGAGAGAGAGAGAGAGAGAGAGAGAGAGAGAGAGAGAGAGAGAGAGCGTTTTAAAGATTAATCATATATAGTCAGGTAGCTATAGTCGCGTCGAATGTATTTAGCAATCATTTTTCGAAGTCCGCATGACAAGTGAGCGCACATTGTTCATTTATTTTTTTCATTGCAAAATACGAAATGATCATGTTGGAATAATGGGACAGTATATTTTCCAATGTAAGAATTATCTCCTTTACGGAAATCTTGCAGGATAGCCCAGAAGAGTAGGTAACAAGACTGACTATTTCGTGATTAATTTAACCGTTAACATCAGCATGTTTAAAATGATTCGATCTTATAATCGAAACATTTTAAATTAAGAGGAAGGCGTTTAGAATTCAAATAATAAATTCACAATTTTTATATATATATATATATATATATATATATATATATATATATATACATTTCGATTAATTTTCGGGAAAGAATCTATCTTTTTTTTTGAAAATTATTTAACAAATGTACATTTTGAATAATGTGTTTACAGTGCATGTACGCATTTTTCTGGGACATCCTGTACCTTGATACAGATGATGGCACAGACAATTCGGTCCATTTCATCATTCCATCGACCGATCTTTCCCCCCTCGTCATTTTCTCCCTTTATAAGCTTTTATCGCTGTGTGAAAATCTCATTAGATTAAAATAATAGCATTCTCTCTCGATGATAATAAATCATCCCGCTAAATATCATTGATTAATCATGTCGCGCGGATGTGTGATTTGTTTCAATAATAATCTGTTTAAATCGAACTTGTGTGTCAAAACCTGCACATTTGTACAAATTGATTCTCAATCGTTCTCGTTCATTTAAATCTCAATATTTTGTAAAATTTTGTTTTATTAAAATTCTGCAAATATACGAATTATTTTTCGATAATATTTGTGCATCGATGAATATTTATTCTTTGATAGAAAACGTCGCGAAAAGCTCTCGGTAGAACTCGTCAAAGATTTTTCGTTCGTTGAAACACTTCATGAATCATATCGAGAGGAAATCTTCAATGAAATAGAGTAAAAAGCGATGCAATTTTGAATACTTTAGAAAAGTAACGAATCTAAAATAAGAATTAAACCAGGAAGGAGAATCCTATTGTGTAACAAACAATTGTGTAGAAAGATAATTGATAAACTTATGCAAAAAAAATGAAATATACGTGTGTCCACTAAGCTACAGATGTGATTGAGTTATACAGTAATATGAAGTATTGATCCATCTCGAAACTGTATCGCTTAACTACTTTATGCAATTTTTTAAACAGATAAAGAAATAATGATGAGCTGGTTCGCGCTACCCATTTTACGCACTGAAAAGGGATGAAGCGGACACTTGGGTTGGATTAATGTTTCGCCATTGAATTATTGGTTAACCTTCGATTCAGTTTGTCATATTATTATTATTATTATTAATTGACTACTGTACGTACGTTATGGTTAATATCTATTCACGTTCCCTTTGTGTTTATATTTTTTATTTCTTTACCCTTTTTGTTCATTTTTTTAGTTCGCTTATTGGTCTTTGCGCTTCGTCGTTTAAATGCGATTAAAGACCTTAGTAGCGGTATTGTGATATTAAGAATTATATAAAATAATTAAAGGAGAGAAAGAAAAAGAGAAGAGCGAGTGCGTGATTATCGTTAGAATTTAGATTAAGGACATTCGTTTCGTGAGGCTTCCTTCGAGGAGATCGAGAGAAATGCGTTTATTGCACGTAGAGAAATACGAGCACTCTATTTTACCTTTGCACGCGCACGAAACTAGAGTCGAAAAATCTCTTCGTGGTTTATTTACAAAGGACGGCGACGCTTTAACCGGTAGAATCGAATAAGTTGCTTCTCTTTTTTTCGAATTAAATTAAAACGAATCTCGCGCGTGGCGACAAGGTTCGATGAAATTAGATTGAACTCCTTTCTCGATAAAACTTGATAAAATGGAGCCGTCTCTCTTTCAATGAAAGTCAATGAAGCATAAATACTCTTGCAATAAAATTCATTGTTTGAGGAAAATTCTAAGAGTGGTGAGAGGGAGACAAAGAAAAAGTGAAAAAAAAAATATATTGTATACATATATGTATTATTTTTTTATATATATTAAAATAAATTATAATTTTTATCAACAAACTTGAATTTTTGGGCATAATTCGATAGTAAAATTTTCGATAGTGAGAAACTTTTCTTCTTTACTTTTTCAAAAGTTTATGCATATTATATTTTTTCTTTAAGGATTTGAATTATAATATTAGTGTAAATTAAGAACTTTTTTTTCAGAATCTAATAATAGGATCTCACTGAATTTTTTGTGTAGCATCTTTTATGATCTCGAAAATCTTGTAGATTAAATAATTTGCAAAATTTTAGTTTTAAAATAAGTTGAAATTATTCTATTTTGTTGAAAAAATATAAAATTAATTAAAAATATAAATTTAATATAAGTAGTAATATAACTTTGATGTTATACATATACATATACACATACATTAATATTAATATTTAATCAAAAAATATGTAATTTTTTGGTTGTTTATTATAAAATTTCAGAAAAAAAATTTATAAAATTAGTACTTCAAAACTACAATACTAGCATACATAATGACGAGTTTAATTCGTTTCATTATCCAAATTCTTATTAAAGTTCAAGTTAAACTGTTTTTCACTTTATCGAGAAGAAGTCAAAATTTAAAATCTCAACATTTTGAAATGAGAGAAATGAATCTACGACGAGTTCAAAACTTGCCTCTCAATGACCTAAATGATGGAACTGAACCGGTTAAAGAGGTCTAAGAGGGAGAAACACAATCCCGTCCAGAAAACTTTTTCCCACCATCCTCCGAATCGTGCATACATCTACATCTCCTTATTTTTTTTTACCAAAATAAAAATCGAACAAAAGTGAGGCACGGCCACATGGTCAAATAGATACACGGTGTAAATTTGGGCTATGGCATTTGCACGAAGGTGTAAGACTGATTTGCTGAGGTGACTTTACGAACGATGCAGAAATGTTGACCTTTTCAAGCCAGCCGGCACTTTATTGTAATAACAGTATGATCAAAAAACTCGAAAGGAGAACGCTATCTATAAAGATGAGAAAATTATTTCACGATAACATAAAAAATGCAGAGAAAAGTTTCGTTCTTTTACAATTACATTCACGTATAAATATTGGTGTAAAAGAAGCGATACTCCTTCCGAGAAATAATATTTGACCGACACTGTATATTAACGTATAAATCAATCTGTAATCGGCAATTATTTGTTAATAACAAACGCTACAAACAACGACGTCGTAAGTCAAAAATTATCGCGTTGTAGAGCGACGGAAAGCAATATTCGCGGCCTCGTTTAATTGTTATTATTAGTTCATTATGAACGCGTGTAGATGAGTCGCACGAATGCGCATACATTTTATATAAAAAAGATTAATAATTTAAAATAGTTCTTTTTTATATGAAAGCCGATGTGAATAATGTGTACGTATATTATCGAATATGATATAATTTATATTATATTGCCGCAAATATCGTATAATACAGTATATGTACGTATGTATGTGTGTGTATATATATATATATATATATATATATATATACATACGTTTTATAAAATATATCATTATATATATATATATATATATATATATATATATATATATATAATGATATATTTTATAAAACGAATTCTCCAAGTATTGTGCGAAATAAAGAAGTCAAATGTGAGAGCTATTAAAAGCCTGAATACCACAAAA